CCCTCGACGCCATCCACATCTGTCACTCGCCTCAGTATCACGCAACCCCGCTTTCACCCTGTCCTTCTCCACCTGCTCTCTCCATCCCAATCGCGGACGACCCCTTCCTACCACTCCTTCAACCTCGAACTCCAACGTTCGCCTAATCCCGACCCTTTCATCCCTTCTCAACACATGTCCATACCACCGCAATCTCGATCTCCTTATCAATGTCACAATGTCCTCATTCAGTCCCATCATTGACATCAGCTCTGTACTACTCCTCCTATCCTTCACTTTAACCCCACACATCATCCTCACCATAGCTCTTTCAGCCCTCTGCAGTACACTTTCCTCCTCTCTCCTCAACACCCAAGTTTCACCACCATATACCATCGCTGCTCTCACACATGCTTTATATACCCTCCCTTTCATCTTCACTGACCATTTCTTTCCACACAATACCCCACCCAGTTCCCTAAATTTCATCCATCCCACACGAACTCTAGCCGTAACTGCGCTCAAACATCCAAATACACAAATGTATTAATATATAAATTTACAAAAACAAAATATTAATATGCCAAATATACTATTACATAATTATAATATATGTTTATTTGTTTGTTTATTTATTTATATATATCATCATTTAATTTAAACTTCATTTCCTAAATTTTTCACTGATGTCAAATTTTTTTATTTGAAATTTTTCAATTGCACTTTATTTCCTTCCCTTTTTTCTCTCTCCTCTCTCTTTCTCTCTCTCTCTCTCCTTTCTCTTCTCTCTCTCGCCAGTGCTCACTTTTTCTCTGCAAATAACCCTGCAGTGCTTAGCTGCGGGGTCCAGTATATTGAACCGAGAGGTCGAGAGTGCAAGTATGCGACCTCTGGCTCGTGCCCTGACCCAACACATCGACGAGTTGAGAAGTCTGCTAAGGGTACAGTGTCTCAAGAATCAGTCTTCCTATAATGAGATGGTATTTCTTGGGCTCTATTGTGTTGTATTAATTGGTTGGTTGGTTGGTTGATTGATTGATTGATTGATTGATTGATTGATTGATTGATTGATTGATTGATTGATTGATTGATTGATTGATTGATTGATTGATTGATTGATTGATTGATCGATTGATTGATTGATTGATCGATTGATTGATAGTTGGTGTCGTCATTATTTATGAATATTAATCTAAATTTATTTTCATCCCAGATTGTTAAGGCACTGACAGATTTTGATAGACTTTTTTCTGATTTTGAACTGAGGTGAGTGAGATAAAACAATAATGAGTGAAAAAAATCAATCAATTGTTCATTCATTTATTCATTCATTTTTTCGATCATTCATTGATTCGATCACTTATTCATTCATTCAATCATTTATGAATCTTCTCAATCAGTTAAATGAAATTATTTGTAGTTATGTGAGCGTTATGGTGCCAGTGAAAACGATGAAAGATTATGACCTGCTGCAAGATGTCACCGTGCTATTCTGTGAAACTGTTAATAGGTTAATTTGTTTGTTTGTTTGTGTGTGTGCTTGTGTTTGTTTGTGTGCGTGCGTGTGTTTGTTTGTGTACGTGTGTGTGTTTGTTTGGGCGTGTGTGTGGTTGGTTAATTAATCATCAATATATTAACTATTCATTTGATTACTTTCTCACTTAGTCTTTCATTTGTTCATTTACTTTTTATAACATCCACTTGATTATACATTCACTTAGTTATTCCTTCATTCAATCATTCATTCATTCATTCATTCATTCATTCATTCAACCGTTTATCTTCAAATGGTTACAGGTCTATGAAACTCGGTCTATTGAATCAAGAACTACTGGATTCTTATGATCCAGTGCTCATGTTCACCATTCCTCGATTAGCTATTGTCTGGTTGGTTGATTGGCTGGTTGATTGTCGGGCTGGTTGATTGGCTGGTTGATTGTCGAACTGTTTGATTGGCTGATTGTCTGGTTGGTTGGTCGGCTAGTTGATTTGTTATTATTTTTTCACCACAAAACAAACACTACTAAGACGTTCATCTTGTTTTTTTACCTTTTGCTTGCTTATTTGCCAAATAAATTCATCACAATCGTCGTCTTATCATCATCGCAACCGTCATTATCATCATCATCATCATCATCATCATCATCAGTGGCCTGCTTATATTCCCCGATGGACCATTGAACCCTGATCAAGACCCAATTCACATGTCAGACATGTTCAGACAGTTTCAAACACTCCTATTCAAAATTAGGCAAGTAGTATTTTTATCTGGCTTTCTAGCCGTCTCTCCTTTTTTTCTCTCTCTCTCTCCTTTTACCTACTTGTATATTTAATCTTTCCATGTGCATGGACAAGTGTATGTGTGTGTGTGTGTGTGTGTGTGTGTGTGTGTGTGTGTGTGTGTGTGTGTACTTTGTTGTAGAAGTGTATGTATGCCTGTGCATGAATTTCAGCTTGAATATTTACGAAGGTGTGGTGCATCTATTCTCTCTCTTCCTCTTCTCTCTCTCTCTCTCTCTCTCTCTCTCTCTCTCTCTCTCCGTTATTTATGTCAACAAGACACACCTAAAATATTTCATTCAGAGAGTTATTGAGAACTCTGAAAGCAGAGGAGTTGAAGACATTAGAACAGCTGCTTTGCCATTCTGGAGATAACAGCCCCACAACAGCCATAGAATCCAACATCCAATTGAAACTCACGAAATTAGGTCACGGTAAAAAGTTGAAATTTAGATCAAAAGATAATAAAAATGATGGTGGTGGTGGTGGTAATGAGGACTGTGGCGGTGATAACAAAGAGGATAAAAATGCTGATAAAAAATGCCTAAAAGTTATAAACGATAACGCAGATGGTGGTGAAGAGGGTAACGATGATGCTGTGAGTAAGAAGATGATGATGGCCCCGACGACGACGACGAAGATGATGAAGGTGATGATGAAGAAAAAGAAGTTGCATCATTCGCAAACTTGGCCATCTAGAGTCAGAGCAACTACAACAACTACAACAAACACTGCAACGACTACAGCCACAAGTACTACTGCTACTACTGCTGCTACTACTACTACTGCTACAAAAACAACTACAGTGTCGGCTACAGCAGCGGCAGCTGCAGCAACTACATCATCAACATCATCGTCGTCTAAATTTCTTCCAACGACAACGGCCACAACACACCCGACAGCGACAATCAGATCAATCAGCTGGAAAGGTAGTAGAGAGTTCAACTTTGCACTTCCCCGGAATACCAGTATCATAGAGAATGGCGATGATGACGACGACGACGATGTTAGCGCGGCTGGCGATGCTAACAATAACAACAATAATAATAACAGCAGTAGCAACAACAACAATAATAATAATAATAACGGGAATGGTAATGGTGATGTCGATGATGACGTCATAGATGGTAGTAAGGCAGGGAGGAAAAAATATAAGAGCTGTAAAAACTGCTTAAATAGGAGTGACGATATTGACCATTACGTTGAAATTAGTCCTGCTGATAATTGTAATAATAATAATAATAATAATAATAGTTGTAATAGTAGTAGTAGTAGTAGTAATAATAATAATAATAATAATTGTGATGAATTTGGCTCAAGTGGTGTACCAGCAGGGCAGGTATGTTAATATTATTACATATATTGTTATTATTATTACATATATTGTTATTATTATTATTATTATTATTAATCTTCTTTACAGGTAATCTACCTATTAAGAAACGGAAGTTGTGATGATAATAATAATAATAATAATAATAACAACGACGACGACGACGACGACGATGATGATAGTGTCTGCAAACTCGACAACACCAACTACTACAATATCTCCTTCATTACTGAAGAGTTTTGCCAACTTTTAAACAACAACAACAACAACAATAATAATAATAATAATAACAACAACAACAATAACAACAACATTAACGACGACGATAACAGCGATGATAATGATGATAATAATATGAATAAAAGCACGGAAAATGCTTTGAGCCAGCAGCAGAAACAACAACTATTCATCAGCAATCATGAACTGAATCAACAAAACAAACAACAGAAACAACAACAAAAACAGAACACTGACAGTCTGGAGAATTCAAACACTGCTTACTCAGATCCATACTCCACATCTCCAAAATATGAACTTAACAACAGCAACAACAACAATAATAATAATAAGACCAACAACAACATCAACGATTTTAACCTTAATAACGTTGATAACATCAACAATGATGCTAACAATGACGTCTCGCTGACAAGAAGTTTCAACCAACTAAATTCGGAAAGTATCAAAGATACAAATACTCATAAAAGTATCAACACCAACGACAATAATAACAACAACAACAACAACAATAATAATAATAATGCTAATAATAATAAGCAGAGGAAAAAACAGCTCTGTTTAATTATGGATGGTGCTGATAAAATCTACCTACCGTCAGACTCCTGGCTAATTAAAGCTATAACTACTACTGCTACATCTGCTACTACAACTACTGCAGCTACTACTGCTGCTGCTGCTAATACTACTGCAACTACTACAGCTACTGGGAAAATCCCGAGTGTTAAAAATAAACGAGCTAAAAATAGCACCCCATCAGTAGCAGCAGTGAAGATTTTAAATAAGACCCAATCCCCATCTTCAGCTAAGAATGAGAACGATGATGACGACGACGAAGAAGAAGATGATGATGATGATGTGGAGGAGGAGGAGGATGACGATGATGAAGAGATGAGTAAGGTGATACAATTAGCGGAAGCAGCTGCCAGGCAGGAAGCAAGGTCAAAGTTCAAGGACAGTACTGACCTTGTGCATAGGCTATTTGTCTGTATATCAGGTTAGATGATTGATTGGTTGGTTGGTTGGTTGGTTGGTTGATTAATTTGTTAATTTTGAACATTTATTAGGTGTGGCCGATCAGCTACAAACGAACTACGCCAGTGATCTTAGACACATTTTGAAGGTGGTTTTTGAATCTTACTCGTCATCATCACTGGACGACAATATCTCAACAGCAGCAGCAACAACAACAACAACTTCTACTTCTTCCAACACTACAACTAGTATTAACAATACTGCAAACAGTACAACAACAACAACAACGACGACGACGACAACAGCAACATCGAGAATGACACCCAGAAGCATCTCGAGTAGTAGCAGTATGGGCAGCTTCCGATCGGCCACATCGACCACAACGACGACGACGACGACAACGAACGACGACAATTTAATGAGGACGTCACTGAGTTTCAACTCGACAACTGCATCAACAACGACACGACAGCATCCTACATCGTCGTCGTCTTTGTCCTTCCTGTCTCATCAACACCATCATTTGGACATCCCGTATTCAGATTTTGAAGTGGATAGGAGTGCTCTTGATGTCTCTGAGGAATTTGCCGGTCAGGGTTTCAATCATTTAACTATTTTATTTGATTAATTATTCATTTATTTGTTTATTCATTCATTCATTCATTCATCCATCCATCCATTCATTCGTTTGTTCATTCATTTTTAGTTATTAATAATTATTTCATTGTTTAATTATATATATCTTTACATGTGACAAAAATTGTAAATGTCAGACAGACATGTGTGTAAAAAAAATTTGTAAACAAACCACATCCATCACCCAGCCAATGGGAGTTTGAGAATATCACAAGAACCGCCAGCCTGGTTGCCCGACGACTCGTCTTCTCAGTGCATGTCCTGCAAGGTTCTTTTCACGTTCGTCCGTAGGAGACATCATTGCAGAAACTGTGGGAAGGTTTGTCTGTTGATTTGTTTGATTGGTTGGTTGATTGATTGGTTGGTCGATTGATTGATTGGTTGGTTGATTGGTTGATCGATTGATTGATTGGTTGGTTGATTGATTGGTCAATTGATTGATTGATTTACTGACTTACAGACAGATTAATTAATTGTTAGTTAGTTAGTCTGTTTGATCATTGATTGATTGGCTGATTGATTTATTAATCAATTAACACTTTCACCAACCAATCACAGATCTTCTGCAGTAACTGCTCGTCCAATAGCGTTCCACTTCCTCATTTCGGCCACCAAAAACCAGTTCGAGTCTGTAACTCCTGTTTCCTCTTTCACGTCAACCCGTTCACTTACATTTCGTGATGGCATCCATTGATTGGTCGATCGATCGATTGATTGATTGGTTGGCATCTAAATATGTGAATATTAAATTGCTTGATTGACAGATAGCTGGGTGATACTTTATTTGCTTGAATAAATATTTATAATAATTGTACAAAAAACGCTTTCACTTTCCTTCTTGCATAACACATCGCTATTTTTTCATATTCTGAGCCGAAGTTCAATCAAAATAGCTCTAAATACTTTCGCTATTGTTGCTGTTGTTATTATTGTTATTATTATTGTTGTTGTTTATTATTATTATTATTATTTTTAGTGTAACTACTATTATTTCTATTTAAGAAATTTAAGAAATTCAATGCTAACGGAAATATCTTACTTGCGAGAAGAATTCTAATTATTATTTATGACGTTTCTGTACTTATCTTTCTATTAAATAACCCCTCCCTCTCTCTCTCTCTCTCTGTCTGTCTCTTAGTATGTGGTCGTTCCACATATACACACCAGATAAATGTATGTATAGATTAATATATTAGTTTCATATATATATATATATATATATATATATATATATATATATATATATATATATATATGTATATACTATTAAAAGACCATAATTAACGCAGTAATTTATGAAATCTACAGAATTTCTAGCCTATTCCATTCCTGTTGTTAACAATACTCTTGATGTTGTATCAATGTATGTTTGTGTATGTATGTATGTTTGTGTATGTATGTTTGTGTATGTATGTTTGTGTATGTATGTATGTGTATGTATGTATGTGTATGTATGTATGTGTATGTATGTATGTGTATGTATGTTTTTGTATGTATGCGCATTTGTGTGTGTGCATGTGTGTGTGTATATGTGAGTTTTGCACTGTACATGCATTTCATGGAAGTTTAAGATATATAAGCCTTAAAAATATATAAATAAAAATGACTAACTGATATACTCAAACACACACACACTCACGCACACACGCACGCACTCAAACACGCACACGCAAACGCGCGCGCTTTTTCCATTCGAATTATTTTTGCTACCATCAATAATTAATAACATTCTGTATATCGTTGTTGTGGCAGATGTTTTCCTCCTACTTGTCAATTAATTCAATTTAATTAATTAATGTATTAATTTAATTAATATTAATAATAATAATTATTATCATTATTGTTATTAACGAAGACTCTTATTATTTCCGCCTCAGCATCTTTGTAAACATTCATATTATAAAAGTATTACAAAATCTTAGCGCGATGGTTGTACGCGCACGCATACACACACACACACACACACACACACACACACACACACACACACACACACACACACACACACACATAATTCATAATTGTTGTTATCATCGTTATTGAATGAGTTGCTTACTTTTAAACTTACAAAAGTAAGTGTTTATTAACGTGTTTCAATATTTCGCCTTTTATTCTATTAAAAAATTATAACAATTAATCACTTGTTTATTACATGATGTGTATTTGTATGCGTATGTATGTGTGAGTGTGTGTGTATACACAAGAATTGCATATTACGAGCGTGTGTGTTGTGTATGTGGAACAAAATTTTATTTTCAAATGTTGAACTCTTCGTGACTGCTTATTTTCACTCATAATGGGATTGAATCGAGTATTTTTGTTTTGATTTACAGATAAAATTATCAATTTGTTGAATAAAAATTTTCAAATTTATAAAATTTGTAGTTTGGGTATTCTCGTTTTTGTCGCCAGACCACCGGTAACGATGAATTGTTACGTGTCGTTTTAAATTACAGAGAGGTGATCGCGTACACACACACACACACACACACACACACGACACGAACACTCACAAACACACACACTTATATTAAAACGGACATATCTGAAATAAGGTTATTTTACATTTATTAGTCAAACAATTGAGAAGTCATTCATAAAATTATCAAATTTATTACGGAAAAAATGTTTTGAGAACCAAATGAAAAACACAAGTCGTTTTCAAAAACTGTGTCGATTATAAACCATCTAAACATCGAAAATAGGTAATCCCACATACACGCACACACACACAAACATGTAAAGGTCATATTAGCTTATTACAATTAATTACCTGCCAAAATTCTAACAAAAATTTTAAATATCACATACAGACCAACGTAACTGTGAAAAAAAACACATCTCCATAATGATAAAATACTTTTTTGATTGGAAAAATTGAAAAGCAAGCAAGAAAAATATTTAAAATCAACATACGCGAATAAAACTACACACGCATAAACACACACATACACACACACATGCATACATACATGAATACATGCATGCTTACATACATACATACATACATACATGCATGCATACATACATACATACATACATACATACATACATACAAAAATTTGATTAAAATGAATAATATCGATTAAGTCAATAAAATGTTAAGTATGCACCATGATCAATCAACCAATCAATCGACCAATCAGCCAATCAATCAACCAATCAATCAACCAGCCAATCAGCTAATTTGTACCAACCAACCAATCAACTAGACCTACTAAAAAGAATAGAAAAACACATCTGATTCAAGTAACTATAATGAACATTATGTCATACAGGAACTGTTATCTGTGGTGTATAAATAGTGGCAGTAATCTATATCAGTATATATATATATATATATATATATTTATATATATATGTATGTGTGTGTTTGTGATATCAGGATATGCTCCGCAACAAAGTAGGAAGGAAGAGGAGAAGGATAGGTTTTATGATGATGTTTCTGACGAGATTGGGCAAGCGGGGTTGAATGAGTTTGTGGTGTTGTTGGGTGATTTGAATGGTCATGTGGGGGCGGATGCAGAAGGATATAAAGGTGTACATGGGGGATGGGGATATGGTATACGGAATGAGGAGGGGCGTAGTTGGTGCCGTTGTTTGCCCTTATACAACGGCACCAACACACACAGTGTGTTGGTGCCGTTGTATAAGGGCAAAGGAGATGTGAGAGATTGTGGGTCATATAGGGGTGTGAAATTACTAGAGCACGGAATGAAGGTAGTGGAGAGGGTGCTTGAGAAGAGGTTGAGAAGTATGGTGACAGTTAATGAAATGCAGTGTGGGTTTATGCCTGGTAGGAGAACGGTGGATGCGTTGTTCATGGTGAGAATGTTGCAGGAGAATTATAGAAAGAAGAAACGAAGATTGTACATGTGTTTTGTGGATCTAGAAAAGGCTTTTGATCGAGTACCGAGGAAGTTCATTGAATGGGCGTTGAGGAAGAAAGGAGTAAATGAGATACTTGTTAAAGCTGTGATGCAGCTGTACGAAGGGGCAAAGACAAAGGTGAGGGTTGGAAGGGGGATGTCGGACGCTTTTAGTGTTAAGGTAGGAGTGCATCAAGGATCAGTGTTATCACCGTTTCTGTTTGCAATTGTGATGGATGTTGTGTGTGGAAACATAATGGAGGGGTTGTTATTTGAGATTTTGTATGCAGATGATTTAGTTTTGATGGCTGATAGCATGGAAGAATTGCAGTTAAAATTTGACAGATGGAAAAGTGTTATTGAAAAGAAAGGGTTAAAAGTTAATATTGGTAAGACGAAGGTAATGGTGAGTGGGGAAGGTGGGGAGCGAGTGATAAGTAAAATAGACCCCTGTGGGGTAACTCGGTGTTGTGTATAGGATGTCAGAAATGGGTGCATAAGAGATGTAGTGGTTTGAGGGGGGCACTGAAAAAGGTGGAAGGCACGTTCAAATGTAAGAAATGTGTTCATGGTGTGATTAATAGGACGGACGCAAGGACGGGGTTGAGCTGAATGCGGATGGAGAATGTTTGAGCGCAGTTACGGCTAGAGTTCGTGTGGGATGGATGAAATTTAGGGAAATGGGTGGGGTATTGTGTGGAAAGAAATGGTCAGTGAAGATGAAAGGGAGGGTATATAAAGCATGTGTGAGAGCAGCGATGGTATATAGTGGTGAAACTTGGGTGTTGAGGAGAGAAGAGGAAAGTGTACTGCAGAGGGCTGAAAGAGCTATGGTGAGGATGATGTGTGGGGTTAAAGTGAAGGATAGGAGGAGTAGTACAGAGCTGATGTCAATGATGGGACTGAATGAGGACATTGTGACATTGATAAGGAGATCGAGACTGCGGTGGTATGGACATGTGTTGAGAAGGGATGAAAGGGTCGGGATTAGGCGAGCGTTGGAGTTCGAGGTGAAGGAGTGGTAGGAAGGGGTCGTCCGCGATTGGGATGGAGAGAGCAGGTGGAGAAGGAC